TACAGTGCATGTGATAACATGTACATACACATGCTGCTCTTTAATGAAAATGTTAATAAATACTTTGTCCATGTGCGGAAACGATTGCTGATATTATAAAGGTGTATCAGCCATGATTCAAGAATTATGCATTACCGTAATTAATATGTATTTCTGGCATGTTGCAGCTATTTTTCAACTGGTTATGATTCTTGTTGGGGTATTGTGCCTTGATATTGTAAAAGTTTGATTTCGCTACTATTGATGCACCAGAAATCTTCACTATTATTTATACCTTTCAATCGCAGGTAAGCTCCGGGGCATGAATGAGAATATTGGCAAAGTGGAAATACCGGCCGCTAACAATGAAAGGAAAAAAATCATAGAATGCATTGCCGACGTGGCCAACGTACAAGTAGTTCCACTGTCTGACTTAGAGGAACAAGTTTACCGGTTAGCTGGTCGTACAGCGTCAACAGGAGCTCTATGTCTCGTCAGTGTGAAGTCTAATGACAGCGGAGAGGGCTCCATTACTGTGAACTGTGAGAAAATGGTGATAGGCAATATGTTAGTCAAAGACATCAAAAATTCTCTAAGTAAAGTGAAATGATATTCATAACTTCAAAACTCAACAAAAGCTGTCTTGAATGTCTTAGACTTAGAATCTAAATGTTGGTCTTTTTCTCACTTTAAACTGTTTATCCTCTCGTGTATATCAAGATCTAGGACTACCCTTGCAATAGCTAATGGAGCAGAACTTTTAAAATTGTCTATATGCATTAATTTTCTTTAATTCAACCTGCTCCTTTTAAAGCGTCATCTTCGCAACATAGGTAATGTATTATTCACATGTTGTAAACGTTGCATGTGACCCATAGCGAACATGACCCGGCACAATAACTGTGACACTTTATCCCACATTAAAAAAAAAAATGCTATCATCTGTACTTGATGCGCTTGTCTGTATTTTTGTCTTCTCTCTTGGTTGTTGATATTTTTTAGATAATGTGATAGTATCACATGCAAAAGCATTTTGTGACATTGGAGCCTGTTTTGTAATTGTTAGTTGTGCAATGTTTATATTGAACAAGGTATTTATTTATTAAAAATGAAACAAAAACTGTTGTTGGTGCAATCTCTTGATTGCCCAGCTGATGCATTATACTCCTAATCATGATTCTGTAATGTCTCCATCTTGTAGTAAATTCTAATAGCTTTATGGATTTTATAACTTTCTTTTCTCTAATGTTGAGGGCGCTTTACTCAACCAACTAAAGGCACGAGTTTCTGGGTAAGCTTAACTTCAATAAATACTATCACTATGAATAAATATTCATATTTTTGTCACTCTGTGACACCAGTGCTCTAAACACACTTGCAACTTTCCTTGGTCTCACCGAAACTATCTAAAACTAACAAAATTGTTCACATTCTGACTTAGAAGTGGTGATAATCTGGTTATATCTGTAAAAATTGTTGCGTAGTCTTACTATATACTGTAAAACACATTGAAATAGCTACATGCCATTTTAGCTAATTTGACCCAATGCATGAATTAACAAAATCTTAATTTAGCTAAAGTGTTAATAATCTCATTGTAATAATATACTTTATTTTAAATTAGCGACTTCTTGAATTAGCAAACTTTACAGATTAGCTTAAAATAGCATGCTAGCTAAAAAGACAGGTTTTACAGTACCTTCAGTTGTATTTACCTTTTTTTAGAAACATTTCTGATAAGTCTCATTTACAAGCCAGCCAAGCTTCATTTATATTTGGTCTTTCACTTGAGTTGAGTGAAGCGCAGTGAAACTTTTAAATACCAAAGTATACTGTTGTTGCCTTTCACACAAAAAAAACAAAACATTTTTTTATTCAAAATAAAAAAGACCAAGACCTAAAGTCAAATGAGAAAGTATCAAACTTTTGACGTCCAGAAGGTTATTAAAATCAAATGCTGTATAAATTGAAAAGACCGTGAAAACCAAACTTCTTGTCAGTTGTTCATTCGATTAGTTTATATACATAAAGAGAAACTGACAGTATCTTTGGTGATCGGTTGAGCCAGGTTGCACTTAATTCAAATACATTTGTGCCATCACTATTGTTTCTTATAATGAATTAATTCTCTATGTCTTCGATTCTCTTCCCAATCATTCAGACATCGTGATGCTGTTCCCAGTGTCCGATGTTAGAATGTTGCCTTCTTTGTTTCACCATTGTCAAAGGGCGGTGGTCGTGATAATTATGAATATTAAACTGTTTACAGTTGAATATATTTCTAATCGGCCACCATTCGCCTTTGTGTTTATTTTTTCTACTGTTATCAAAATTGTATTGAATTTGTCACATTGTTTAGCCCTTTGTGCCTCTATATTTATTTCTTCTGCATAACTGTTCTGTGATCCACTCAGCTATAAACTTGGCAGAATTTGAGCTGTTTGTATACTTACTTGCTGTACTGAATCTTGGCCCAATAAAACACTACTAAAATTTGCTTGCTGTATATCTATATGATGCTGCTAAGGAGCCAAAGTAGGAACTAGGGAACTTTGTCACTGGTTAAAAGCACAGTCAGTCAGCATGTGTATCACAGTGCATGAAAATACCTGAAGTTTTTCAACATTTCCAAATTTCACAAAATTAAAAGCAAAAACTCCCCCCCCCCCCCACAACTGGTATATTATATAGGCACTCTTCAAATAAAAACATTGAACAAAATCATGAAAACTAGTTTCATAGGTGTTTTTCAGTTTGTTTTTTTAATAAATTGTGATTAGCAGTAAGCAGGGGACAGCTATGTTGATTCGCATTGGTTTCCTATTCACATGAAACTCTAACCTGGAAATGTTGAAAACCATGTTTCAGAACTTTCATGCACAGCAATACACATACCTGCTGTCTGGTTAAAAGAATTAAACATCACGGTACTTCTATTACTATAGAACTGTATACTATTCTTGTGAAATAATTTATGTGGGCATTTCCTGACCAATTTCTCTTCCATTTTTAAGAGTTCTTTAGTTAAAAAAAAATATAATGTTGGAATGTTAGCTCTGGTAACTTGATTAGATGTACCCAGTGATGTATTTATTGTTCTTTGCTCTGTTTTTGTGTGAGTGAAGCATGTTATAGATGAGTACATGGAAAATTATGCAGCATATAAATGTATAAAATGAAAATTGTGAATGAAATAAACTATGAATGTTAACTGAAATTCATTTTGTGTGATGTATTGTCCTATTTGTGCTTATGTAAATGACAAGTGTGTCTATGGGGTTTAATCATGAGATAAGTTGCTATTTTTGGTTCATACACAATTCTGAGATGAGCTTCAAATACAGCATATGCGGTATACGAAGGCAGCTCGTACAATCAAAATGAAATCTTGCCGACCAGAGTAATGAAATCTACAGATCACCTTGTTTGACCAATATTTCTATTTCCAAAGCATTTCTCAGTTACAAAAAAGGCCATTCCAGGATGGTATTTGTGTTCATACAAGGCTCTTGAAATAAACCTGTATTAAACAATGAAATTACTGAGATAATCTGATGAGTTTTGGTTCAACTTTGTGCATATTAATTATCTAGTTAGCATAATACTTGACCAGTTTTCTGTTTGTTGTAATGAACCATGTTTTGTTATCAACTTCAATACTGTGGATCAGACTGCTTTTACAGTTTTCATTTCATACAGCTGTAATAGATGACATGGTTCTTAACTACTGGTCTTGTCTCCTGGGGAATCTTTGTCATTGAAGTTTTTAACATGGCAAACTGAGGTATTATATTGCATGTATAATTTTTGTTGAATAACTATCAGGCAATCATACCCTCTACGAAAGTACCAGGATGTGTGACCTTAGGGGTCATGTATAAAGCAATGTTTATTTAAAAAACACTAGTACATGCTTGGCAACAAAATGTTAGTACCGTAATTATCTGCCTTTACAAAGAAATATTTGTATCATTATACTGTAAATGTACACACTAGTATTTTAATTTAATAAATCCTTTATTAAATTAATAACTCTGATTGTATTATATTTTACTCCTATCTTGTATCAAGGAGCACCCTCTGTGTTAACCCTTTAAAACCATAGTCACCTTACACAGAATAAACATATATTTTTTATCTGATCCTGTAACTAATGAGAAATAATGTACATTTAGTTCAAAATTGGAAATGCATATAAAGTGTAGTATCAAAAATTCTTCTGTAAACAATGGAAAGTGAATGCGACGTCAATTAAATGTGAATGCTGACGTAGTTTACCTTGTACAAAGGAAAATACAGCTTTGACAATTGCTTTTATGTTTTTATTGTTTTTGGTGCTAGATGTGTAAGAATAGATAATGTCTTTCTAATTCCTCTTTCAGCAATAGTAGAAAAATAAAATTGATTTTTCTTTAAATAATAGAACTACTACTAAAAAACAAATTTGTTAGTTTTGTATATCTTTGAGTATTCTGCGATATTCCTTCTGAGACAATCGATTCATAATTTGGGGTAGCATGATGACGCAACCTCTGTCGTTGTATTTGGAGCAGTATTCAAGTATTATCTTCATGCAGTCCGGTTCTTCCTCATCAAAACACGTCTCACATGGACTGTGGGGATTGTCTTGATCAAACTCACACATGTGGTCAATATGCTCTTCCTGAAAATTACCATAAACAAATAATTTTACATTCATATTATTTTAAAATAATATTCAGTGTATCTCACTCCTGTATTAAATTTTAGCATGGATGTCTGTTTTATGTTTAAAAAAAAATGAATCCTGTCATTTCTCGTACATGTATTGTCTAATGACATTCAAATTATAACAGACAATATTTTTTGTGATCAAATATGGCCAACAGACGACCAAGTGTTTCATTTATATGTTCTAGGCCATAAGTTTATTGATTTGGTTTGAATATTTGCATACTGTTGACACAATAAACTCATTTTTATAAATATTTATAAATTTTAATGGCAGTGAAATCTAAGTGGCCAATCAACAAGCACAGAACACATTAACGTCATAATAACGTTCATGTTCCAATGAAAGGCAGAAAGTTGTATCTTAGTATACAAACATATTTGTAAATTCCGATCATCAACTTTCATTCAAATTTAAATATCTACTGTAAAATCTGTATTAAAAGCCGCGGCTTCTATTAAAACGATACAATGCAACAGAGGGGATGCGGCTTCTATTAGAGCATCTACACATATGAGGAATGATGAATTTTTGGTTCTCAATTATTCAAAAAGACTTCTATTAGAGATGCGGCTTCTAATGGTGATTTTATGGTAATAGTGACTGGCTCATAAACATAACATTGTCTACACCAACTGTTACGAGCCACTAATTCAAAATGAAGTGCATGCTGATTGGGTTATGTTGAACTTTTAACCTCATTAATTAAATACTATATATATAAATTATATTTTTTGCCATAAACAAACATGTGGCAATATTTTGCAATAATTTATATAATTTTCTACAATTTCTTGGTAATTTTGAACAAAATGGAAATAAATGTTTATTTACTGCCGATGTTTATTTACATTTTCGAAAAAATTATGGAAAAATTAAATTTATTACTACAATACTTTTTTGATACAGAAAAAAATGGTGAAAGTAACTTACTGGGCACATGTGCATAGTGGTGTCAATGCAGTGCCTTCAGAGAGACAGATATCACCGACAAACTCACCTCATCATTTTCAACTCCTATATTTTGTTCTGTTTCATAGTTATCAGATTCAAAGTGATAATCAGCCATTGTTTTATACTGAGATTCACATTTAGGTCTCGGTATTAAATCTGATGTGTTCTGTATCCATCTCTCATAATACGACAGTACACTACTAAATGAGTACTTCCTGTCTTTGCTACCCAAATCTGAAAAAGACAATAATGGTTCTAAGACCAGTTATTTCCTGGACACTGACATAAACCACTAGAGGGCGCTAGACACATGAGCACCATAATGACATGCAACACATGCACTATAAACCATTTAAATTGTTTTCATTTATACATATCTAATCATAGAATGTATTATTGAGTATGTTTGGTATATTTCTTAATGACAATACATACCAATCTTTGCTTGTTCTGGATCTCTTGGCACAGCTAGCTTATCTTTTGTTTTCCACCCAGGTTTTGATTTCCACCACATCGCTATAGCTTGTTGTCTACCTTCACCAGAATTAATCTGTGAATATTAAGACTGAATTACAAAGAGCTGATGCAACCCTTTGATATGTGGAATTGAATTTTTTTTTTTTTTTATAATTTTTAATCATCACAATAATCACAAGATTGTGAGTTTATAAAATGACTACTAATTATACATAGAATATTGTTGAAATTTTAGCATTCAGAACATACACCTTGCAATTCCAAACTCACACTGATTTTATAGGAGTGAATTATGAGAAACTCTGAGGG